GCGCTGGGCTCGGTTGGTTGTGAATCCACCTTGCCCCGCTTTGCTCTCCGCAGGGCAGCGCAGGCTCCTCTCCTCCCGCCTGCCCCGGAGCCTGGCTCGGGCCTGGCTGTGCACAAACCAGACAGGCAGATGTGGCAATAGAGGGGACGGGCAGTGACTGTCTGGGTGGAAAATTCCTTGTCAAACCCCCCAGATGCGACTGAGGAGCGCTCAGTGCTGGGGACTCTCTTGTGCAAGCGGTTCCAGCCTTGCCGTGGGTCGGAGCTGTGGGCCTGGCTTATCTCGGCCGCTCCCTGGAGTTTGTACCCTCAGCCCCCACGGGCTGGGACCGGCCGGTTCTGCCTCAGCTCTGTGCAAGAGCTGCAGGACACAAAATCCTGCACTCACAGCGCTCTGCTGTGTCACTCGTGTCCCATAAAACCTTCCCGAGGATCCCTCGCCTGCTCAAACCCAAAAATGTCCTTTGGCAGCTTGTTCCACCAAAAGTAGTTTCCCTGGGTGCTGTAGCCCTTTCCCTGCCCTGTCAATGTTAATTCCAATGCCTGGACCCAGCTCCTGCCTGCTGGGTTTTGCCTTGGCTGCTGAACTTTTCCAGAATGGGGATTTTGAGCGTCCAGTATCTTCCTTCCCAAATAATGATACTTGCAAATATTTGTAAAATCATTCCCCAGATGTTTATTTAAGAAATCAAAACTCTGGAACTCGGTGATGTCTCTCATTCAAAGACATTTTCTCCTTAATTCTAGAACAAATACTTTTCCTCTATTTTCTACAACTTTCTAGTTTTTGTCCTGTTTGGTATCAGCCCTTCTTACAGTATATTTATACACGGAGCTTTTCCTCCAACTATTTTCCTTCAGAGCCCTCTCCAGAGGGGGAACTTCTCCATATTTTTCATTATAGTCCAAAAATCAGGTTTGGGGTTTTTTTTAAGACCAGTCATTGCTCAAAATTCTGGTTTTGCCTTCTGAAGAAATGTGTTACACGAGAATCAATTTGTCGCTTCCATGGCTGGGGCTGGATCCGTCCCTGCTGTGCTGAGGGGTCCCCTGGCCCTGCCGGCCCTGCTGCAGGTGCTGGAGGGGAGGGTGGGCTGCACGGGGGCTCTGGGCTGGGAGCTGCTGCCTCTGCCACACCGGTGACACCTGCTGGGGGTCCCCAGGCACGGCTGGGGCGGGCTGTGCTCGCTGGGTGCACCTGGAGAGGAGAGGAGGAGAGATTGCTCCTGCCCGTGACACCTGGGCTGCCCAGGGCTTTAGAGTGCCTGTGAGATGCTGAGTACCTGACCCCATTCATCCTCTAGGTGTGAGCTATGATCCCTTCGCAGAACCCTCACACCTCTCCAGAACTGCCTTTGATGTGACAGCTGAGTTTCTCAATGCCCGATCCCCTTGCTGTCTGTCCTGGAACCCCTCCTGCTTCTCCTGTGCCTCTCTGGGGTGGGTGACAGCGCCTGATCCCGCATGGCAGAGCAGGGCTGCGTCCTCTCCTGCGTCTCTGCTCTCCCCACGAGCTGCAGCTGCAGCATTCCCCGGGGCAGGGACAGCCCTGTGTCCCCGGAGGGTGAGGCTGTGCTGTCCTGCTCGGGCACAGCTGAGCTGTTCTGTGTGATATTGCTGTCCCTGGCTGGTTGTTCTGTGTGATATTGCTGTCCCTGGCTGTTCTGTGTGATATTGCTGTCCCTGGCTGGTTGTTCTGTGTGATATTGCTGTCCCTGGCTGTTCTGTGTGATATTGCTGTCCCTGGCTGGTTGTTCTGTGTGATATTGCTGTCCCTGGCTGTTCTGTGTGGTGTTGCTGTCCCTGGCTGTTCGGTGTGGTGTCACTGTCCCTGGCTGTTCTGTGGGATGTTGCTGTCCCTGGCCGGTTGTTCTGTGTGGTGTCACTGTCCCTGGCTGTTCTGTGTGGTGTTGCTGTCCCTGGCTGGCTGTGTGGTGTTGCTGTCCCTGGCTGGTTGTTCTGTGTGATATTGCTGTCCCTGGCTGTTCTGTGTGATATTGCTGTCCCTGGCTGTTCGGTGTGGTGTCACTGTCCCTGGCTGTTCTGTGGGATGTTGCTGTCCCTGGCCGGTTGTTCTGTGTGGTGTCACTGTCCCTGGCTGTTCTGTGGGATGTTGCTGTCCCTGGCTGGTTGTTCTGTGGGATGTTGCTGTCCCTGGCCGGTTGTTCTGTGGGATGTTGCTGTCCCTGGCTGGTTGTTCTGTGTGGTGTCAGTCGTTCACTTTCTCCTCATTTCTCAACCAGAGAATGGAATGTTTTAAGGGAATTGTTGTGCTAGAGTCAATAAAGGAGTCCTGTTCATTACCAGATTAAAGAGCGCCTCATTTTGAAAGTTTGGGGGCACATTTTCTGCCTGCCTCTGTGATCCTTTAACTCTGTGACTGTCACCTTGTTCCATTCCTTGCTTTCCAGGGGGTGGGAGTCCTGACATTTGCCCTGAGACAGAGCATCCCCAATGCCAGGGCTGTGCTCAGGGGTGCCCCTGGGGAGGGAGGGAGCATTTCTTGCTGCACAGAGGATTTCAGGCAGTAGTTTCCCCTTCCTCCTCTTCCCTCGTGCCCTGTGGCAGGGAGCAGCCCCAGGGTGGTGCTGGCTGGGCAGTGAGAGGAGCTCTCCCATCCCTGTGGCCTGCAGGCTGAGGGAGTGCCCTGCTGGCAGCACGGGGCACATCAGAGCAGGAGCGATCCAGATGTGTGGGTGAAACTCGGGACACGTCCCCAGGGGCTGTGGGTGGGCTGGGTGTGGAGCTGGCCTGGGCAGGCCTCTCCAGGGGAGGGAATGCTGTGAACGAGGAGCAGCCCTGGGCGCTCCCGAGGGAGCAGAACGGATGGAGCACAGCTCTGCTGAGCGCTGTGTCCCCGAGGGTGTCAGCGGGGCTACACCGGGTCTGTCACCCCCTCACGGGCTCCCTGACACCGGGTTGGTCACCCCCTGCTCGGCAGGGTGGCCGTGGCAAACCCCTGATCCTCCCAAGGGAATGTGCAGGATGTGCGGCCCAGGCTGCTCCCCCGAGCCCACAAGAGCTGAGGCAGCTGAGGCGGCACAGGTGCAAGAAACCTGAGTTTTCATGGCTGTATTCAATAATCGCCTTCCTGCTCTGTTCACAAAGGGTTCTGGATGGACACAAGTGCTCTGGAAGCAGGGGCAGGGATTTGCACCTGGTTTGTGATTTCTGTCAGTTTTTCTGCACGAGAAGTCAGCCAGCAGCACAGGCAGGTGTCTGAGCAACCTGAGGCTTCTGCTTTTGTAGAATTATATTTGAAAGTGGTCTCTGACAGTCTTCTGTGAGGAAAGTGCTTTGTGTTTCCCCCAGCTCCAGCTGTGATCATGCCTCTGAGCAGATTCAGCCACAGTTTTCCATTTCCCCCTGTGTGAGGGCAGGATTTGGTGGTGCAGAGCCCTGGTGGTTGTGGCAGTGGCTCCCAGCGTGGTCAGGGTGAGGGTACAGGGCTCCCCAGCCATCCTCCACTCACCCCATGCTTGTGGGGCTGCTCGGGATGTGCAGGGACAGTTTTGATCAGCTCTGCTCTCAAGTAATCTGCAAATACAGAGCATGGATAAATCTGTCAGTCATCCACTGCAGATGATGTAATAAAGATAATTTTCCATTTTATTTTTAGACTGTGAGAAAGGGACAAAAACACCATAATGACGTGTCTAAAGCCCCGAAGACACTTGCAACAACCTTAGAGTCATTTCCTCAATAATGCCTTTATTTTGCAGTTGTGGTGATGATGTGTCTGTTTTCCTTCTGCTAGATCTCTAATTTATTTGGGTCTGGTGAGCCTTTCCCTGGCAGCAGCTGTGGAAGCAGGGTGCTGTGTGTGAGGAGAGGTTTGCCTGTGTGCAGTGTGTGATGGATGGAGAGCTGAGGAGTGCTGAGGATTGCTGCTGGCACAGCTCGCCCAGCACAGACTGTGCCAGGGAGGGTTGTGGTGGGCCCGAGTGCAGATAAACCCCCAGTGCCACTGCAGAGCGGTGGCACAGGGTGGGGACTGTCGTAAGGGGAGCAAAGAGGGGCACAGAGACAGAAATCAGATTTGTGCTGATGTCTGTCAGGACTTGTGTGCTCCTCTGGGTACTCTGGGATTGCCGAATCGTGGAGTGGTTTAGGCTGGAAACCCTCTCAGGTCATTGAGCCCAGCTGTGCCCCCAGCACTGGCAAGCCCACCACCAGCCCATGTTCTCCTTTTCGAATCTCTTATCCTTAGGTAAAAGAAAGGCCCTCTCCCCCACAGTTCCAAAGGAAACAGAGATTTATGGCTGAAATGATTGTCCTGAGTAGAGCAGGGCTCAGACTGGCAGAGCTGGAGGGTGGCCTGGACAAGGTGCCTCGTGTCAGGGCACACGGGGAGGAGGAGGAGGATCTGTCCCTGTCCCTGTGCCCGTGCTGGGGTGCTGTGTGTGTTTCACCTGGCTCGGGGCTGTCACCCAGGCAGCTCTGGCACAGCTGGGCTGGGGTGGCACACCTGCTGTGGGACAGGCAAGGGCGCTGTGGTTTTGGGAGCCAGCTTTCGGGGGAGCTGCTTGTTGGGGTGGCCATTCTTCTCCACCACAAAAGACAGACAACATCTCTAAAATCCCCTGGGACCGAGATTTAAACACTTGTCACCTGTGGGTGCTGGGGACCCGTGCTGCAGGTGTGCCCTGGGAGCGGCTGCAGCCCAGCACCCCATTCCCAGCACCCCATTCCCAGAACCCCGTTCCCAGCACCCTGTTCCCAGCCCCGACCCTGTGCCAGAGCTCATGGGGTGCCCTGGTACCAGCTGCAGCCCAGCACCCCGTTCCCAGCACCCCGTTCCCAGCACCCCGTTCCCAGAACCCCGTTCCCAGAACCCCGTTCCCAGCACCCTGTTCCCAGCACCCCGTTCCCAGAACCCCATTCCCAGCCCCAACCCCGTGCCAGAGCTCACGGGGTGCCCTGGCAGGCAGCTGGCACGGTGCCCTGGGGCTCCGCGTGCCCCCGCACGCCCGTGCCCAGCCGTGCCCCGTTGCAGGCCTGCAGTGCGTGTGCCAGCTGTGCGAGCACACCAACTTCACGTGCCACACGGAGGGCGCCTGCTGGGCCTCGGTGATGCTGACCAACGGGCGCGAGGAGGTGGTCAAGTCCTGCGTGTCCCTGCCCGAGCTGCACGCCCAGGTCTTCTGCCACAGCTCCAAGAATGTCACCCGCACCGAGTGCTGCTACACCGACTTCTGCAACAACATCACGCTGCGCCTGCCCCTCGGTGAGTGCCACGCTGGCCCGGCGGGGGGCACGCTGTCCTGGGCTGGGGGGCACACTGGGGGCTGGGGGGCACACTCTGTCCTGGGCTGGGGGCTCCCTGGGCACACTCTGTCCCAGGCTAGGGCTGCCTGGGCACACTGTGGGCTGGGGGCTGCCTGGGCACGCTGCTCCCAGCTGCATTCACACAGCCAACCACAGACTGCAGCTCTGCCATAAACTGCAGTTTCCTGCCTTTCTAAGGGTGTCCCAGCGCTGGCCTCCATGCCCCATGGGCGCTGTCCTGGGGCAGAGCAGGGGGGCACCCCGAGGCACTGCTGGGACCCCTTTGGCACAGGCAGTTTCAGCAGTCTGAGCCCGGGGTGGCTCTGGTGGACATGAGCAGCCTGAGGGGCAGCTGGTCTGTGCTGTCACAGCAGCGCCACCCCAGCGCCACCCCAGTGCCACCCCAGTGCCACCCCAGTGCCCTGCTCAGCAGGGCTGGGAAGGAAGGAGGCTGTGAGATTCCAGCTCCCAATGACAGGGAGGATGAAGGTTGGCACTCCCAGGAGCCCCGTGTGTCACCCGGCTGGTGCAGTGTGTGAGGCTGCCAGGCTCAACGTTGTTGATTTGGTGCTTTCCAAAAATAAATATTTATACTATTTTTAGCACAATTTTAGTTTAATTTTTTTTTTCTTTCCAAGATTTGGAAAGAAAATCCAAATTTTGTGTTTATTCCAGGCTTTTTTAAAAAAAGGTGTAAAATACGCTATTTTATCAGATAATAGCTTTTTATATACTTACAATAGTGAGATATGTTGCAGGTAATAAAGATGCAAATTAACACACAATTTAAAATTGTAGCTTGAATTTAAGAAGCAATCGTGTAGTTCTCAATGGCATTTGAAAGGCTGTTGCTGGGCAGACCATGGGGGAGCCTTGGGCACTGTCACCTCCTGGTGAACCCTGGTGCCAGCCTCACCTGTGCCGTGGGGCAGGAATCAGTGTTGTTTAATTGGGGCTGAGGATGATTTGTATGATGCCTGTATCCCCACAGACAGCTGGGAATACAAGCATCATCAAGTCACCCTAGGACACTGTTTTTCTTTCAGCTGACCACGGAAGGGACACGCTAATTGTGGTCGTGCTCTAGAAATAAAGTGCCGTGGTGGTTTTTCCAAGCTGGGAAGAAAGCTGCTATTTCTAGAGGAGCATTGGAGGCACATCTGCTGTTCCAGCGCTTGAGCTGGGACTCGCAAAACCTCTGGTTTCTCATATTTCAGTCCCAAAAAAAAGGGATGAATTGTTACCCTGAGCCCTTTGCTCCAAAGGTTCGGGGGAACTTGTGTCAGTGGGAATTGTGGCAGTGCAGTGAGGTTTCTGTGCTGGAATTGCAGTGCAGTGAGGTTTCTGTGCTGGAATTGTGGCAGTGAGGTTCCTGTGCTGGAATTGCAGTGTAATGAGGTTTCTGTGCTGGAATTGCAGTGCAGTGAGGTTCCTGTGCTGGAATTGTGGCAGTGAGGTTCCTGTGCTGGAATTGCAGTGTAATGAGGTTTCTGTGCTGGAATTGCAGTGCAGTGGGGTTCCTGTGCTGGAATTGCAGTGTAATGAGGTTTCTGTGCTGGAATTGTGGCAGTGAGGTTCCTGTGCTGGAATTGCAGTGTAATGAGGTTTCTGTGCTGGAATTGTGGCAGTGGGGTTTCTGTGCTGGAATTGCAGTGCAGTGGGGTTCCTGTGCTGGAATTGCAGTGTAATGAGGTTTCTGTGCTGGAATTGTGGCAGTGAGGTTCCTGTGCTGGAACTGTGGCATTTCTGTGCAGGAATGCGCTCACTGCTGGCCACACTGCCAGGGCAGGGAATGCTCTCACAGCTGGGGCAGGGTCTGCACTGAGCCTGGGGCCATGCCCTGCCCGGGCCCTGCCCACAGAGCAGCTCTCGCTGGTCAAACCTCTTGATGATTTTCCTTTTGTCACTGTTTTTGTTACTGTGGTGGCCCAGGAACAAGAAACTCGTGTTTTGTTCCTGTCGTGTTGTTTTCCAGCAGCTGGGGGGAAGCACTGACGTGGTGTGGTCAGTGTCTCCTCCGTGCTTGCTTTCAGCCAGGGAGGAATGAGCCTCATTCCCACCGGGATGGGTCTGACAAGCCCTGCAGGGAGGAGGCTGGCTGGGATGGACAGCCAGGGGACAGCTCATGCCCTGTGCTGTGTGCCCACTGTTCTGCTGTCCTGCACAGAGCCTGTCCTGCTGTTCCGCACGGTGTCCCCTGCACAGAGCCACTCCTGCTGTCCTGCTGTCCTGCTCAGAGCCACTCCTGCTGTCCCGCACAGTGTCCCCTGCACAGAGCCTGTCCTGCTGTCCTGCAGTGTCCCCTGCACAGAGCCTGTCCTGCACAGTGTCCCCTGCACAGAGCACTCCTGCTGTCCTGCAGTGTCCCCTGCACAGAGCCTGTCCTGCACAGTGTCCCCTGCACAGAGCCTGTCGTGCTGTCCCACACAGTGTCCCCTGCACAGAGCCTGTCCCGCACAGTGTCCCCTGCACAGAGCCCCTCCTGCTGTCCCGCACGGTGTCCCCTGCACAGAGCCCCTCCTGCTGTCCCGCACAGTGTCCCCTGCTCAGAGCCACTCCTGCTGTCCTGCAGTGTCCCCTGCACAGAGCCTGTCCTGCACAGTGTCCCCTGCACAGAGCCACTCCTGCTGTCCCGCACGGTGTCCCCTGCACAGAGCCTGTCCTGCACAGTGTCCCCTGCACAGAGCCTGTCCTGCTGTCCCGCACAGTGTCCCCTGCTCAGAGCCACTCCTGCTGTCCCGCACGGTGTCCCCTGCACAGAGCCACTCCTGCTGTCCTGCACAGTGTCCCCTGCACAGAGCCACTCCTGCTGTCCTGCAGTGTCCCCTGCACAGAGCCTGTCCTGCACAGTGTCCCCTGCACAGAGCCTGTCCTGCTGTCCCGCACAGTGTCCCCTGCACAGAGCCACTCCTGCTGTCCCGCACAGTGTCCCCTGCACAGTCTGGGGTGGCAGGGCTGGCTCCGTGAGGTGCCAGAGCTCCTGGGGCAGGGGGGATCCCTCTGTGTTGTTCTCCGTCCCTGTTTCAGGGAAACCTCAGCCCTGTGGAAACAGAATGAAAAGGGTTTAGGAGATCCTGGCGTGTCAGTTAACAAGCAGCAGTTCCAAGGAGGAATCCTGCTCATAAATCCTCTTACAAACTTCCTGGGTCACCCCTGGAGCAGCCTCTTGAAGTCATCAAAGGAGAAGCCTGTGCACACGATGTACAGCTTTGTGTTCAGGAGGGTTGGGGTTGTTCTGGTGAGCAGAGGTGTGGTACTGACTGCAGGAGGGAAGCAGAGGGTGCTGAGCCTGTTTGCTGCTGCCTTGGAGACCCCACATCACCGTGGGCACTCTCAAACTCCAGGTTAAGGTGTGCTTGAGGCCCAGCTTCTCCCTGAAGGGAAGGAGTGACCTGGCATGGGGTGCACTTTGTGATTCTTACATCTGCTGCAGCTCTGGGGTCTCGTTGGTACTCACAGTTCTGAGTGTTGAGGGGTTTTTTTTATAGCTCATATTTCTGGTTTGTTTTATTTGAGGGGAAAGCACTGGTTGATTTTTCTTTTAAACTTATTTCACATTTTGGGGACATTAAAGGAAACGTGTGTGTGTTCCTGTGCAAGTGAATCCCTCAGCAGTGTCTTCCTAGAGCTTCTTGATGTAGAGCTCCTTGGGTGGTGGTCAGAGTGCTGGCCTGAGAGCAGAACAGAAGGTGTGTGGGGGAAAGGCTCCCTCACTTATAGACACGTGGTCCGTCCTGTCTGTCCTGTCCGTCCTGTCCGTCCTGTCCGTTCTGTCTCCTGGCCAGGACAATGGTGGGAAAGCATTGAGGGGAGGAAAGGAGACCCAGGGGTGCTCCCATCACTCTGCACAGCTCCTGGAAGGTGCCTGTGCTCGGCTGGGGCTGGGCTCTTTCTCCAGGCCCGACAAGAGGTCACAGTCTCAAGCTGCACCAAGGGAAATATAGGTTGGATATTAGGAAAGAGTTTTTTACAGAAAGGGTGATCAGGTTCTGGAATGGTCTGCCTGGGGAGGGGTGCAGCCACCATCCCTGGGTGTGTTTAACAAAGCCTGGATGTGGCACTCAGTGCCAGGGTTTGCTTGAGGTGCTGGGGCTGGGTTGGACTCGATGGTATTGAAGGTCTCTTCCAACTTGGTGATTCTGTGAATTCTGTGATTGTGTGAATCTGTGATTGTGTGATCCTGTGTGATTCTGTGAATCAGTGATTCTGTGTGGTTCTGTGATTCTATGATTGTGTGATCCTGTATGATAGTGTGAATGTGTGATTGTGTGATTGTGTGATTCTGTGTGATCCTGTGTGAATCTGTGTTTGTGTGATCCTGTGTGAATCAGTGATTCTGTGTGAATCTGTGTGATTCTGTAATTGTGTGACCATGTGACCGCTGCGGTGTCCCAGCCCAGCGGGTCACTGTGAGCTGCAGTGTCACTCTCCGGTTTGTCTGTCTGTCCCCGCAGCAGCAGCGTCGGGCGGTGCGGGGCGGCTGCGGGCGGCGCTGCTGGCCGCCGTGGCGGTGCCGCTCGGTCCGTGTGTCACCCTGTCTGTCTGTCTGTCTGTCTGTCCAGCAGCAGCAGCACCCTCGGGCGGTGCGGGCCGGCTCCGGGCGGCGCTGCTGGCCGCCGTGGCGGTGCCGCTCGGTCCGTGTGTCACTGTCCCGTGTGTCACTCTGTCTGTCTGTCTGTCTGTCTGTCTGTCCAGCAGCAGCAGCACCCTCAGGCGGTGCCGCTCGGTCCGTGTGTCACCCTGTCTGTCTGTCTGTCTGTCTGTCCAGCAGCAGCAGCACCCTCGGGCGGTGCGGGCCGGCTCCGGGCGGCGCTGCTGGCCGCCGTGGCGGTGCCGCTCGGTCCGTGTGTCACCCTGTCTGTCTGTCTGTCTGTCTGTCCAGCAGCAGCAGCACCCTCGGGCGGTGCGGGCCGGCTCCGGGCGGCGCTGCTGGCCGCCGTGGCGGTGCCGCTCGGTCCGTGTGTCACCCTGTCTGTCTGTCTGTCTGTCTGTCCAGCAGCAGCAGCACCCTCGGGCGGTGCGGGCCGGCTCCGGGCGGCGCTGCTGGCCGCCGTGGCGGTGCCGCTCGGTCCGTGTGTCACTCTCTCTGTCTGTCTGTCTGTCTGTCTGTCCAGCAGCAGCAGCACCCTCAGGCGGTGCCGCTCGGTCCGTGTGTCACTGTCCCGTGTGTCACTCTCTCTGTCTATCTGTCTGTCCAGCAGCAGCAGCACCCTCGGGCAATGCGGGCCGGCTCCGGGCGGCGCTGCTGGCCGCCGTGGCGGTGCCGCTCGGTCCGTGTGTCACTCTGTCTGTCTGTCTGTCTGTCTGTCCAGCAGCAGCAGCACCCTCGGGCGGTGCGGGCCGGCTCCGGGCGGCGCTGCTGGCCGCCGTGGCGGTGCCGCTCGGTCCGTGTGTCACTGTCCCGTGTGTCACTCTGTCTGTCTGTCTGTCTGTCTGTCTGTCTGTCCAGCAGCAGCAGCACCCTCGGGCGGTGCGGGCCGGCTCCGGGCGGCGCTGCTGGCCGCCGTGGCGGTGCCGCTGGCGCTGCTGGCGCTGCTGGCCGCGCTGCTCGCCCGCTCGGGCCGGGGCTGGCGGCGCCGCCCGCCCAGCGTGGAGGAGCCGCCGTGCGAGGGCGGCCTGGCGGGCACGGGCAGGACGCTCAAGGACCTCATCTCCGACATGACCACCTCGGGCTCCGGCTCCGGTACGTGCGGGCTCTGCCCAAACGCAGCGGTTCGGTTCTGTGCGGGAGGGGAGGCGTTAGAAACGGAACTGGGTAATCAGAACCGCGCGTGGAACCCAGCGCTGAGGGCTGGGGCGACGCGGCAGATAATGGAAGGTGCGAAGCTCACCCGAGTGGCTCAGGATGCTGCTTCCCAATTTTTTTTTGTGTTTCGTGGCAGAATAATGTTCCTCCAAATTCTTGTTTTGAGCTGAACATTAATCTTTTTAACATTTTCCCCATTTCTACTCTGATGCCTCCATTGCTATTGAGTACTTGTTAAACCAAAGAAACCTAAAAATGAGGTGGGAAATCACAAATTCCAGCTCATTTGAACAGTGATGTACAGCCCAACCTTCCCTGACTAGAGCTTTTATTGAAAAGTATGTAAACTATGCTTGCTTTTATTTGCAAGTGAAAAACGCACAAATGGTGCCTAATTTAATTTATTTCCGTGAGCTGCATACCTCCGAGGATTAAGTTGTTGTTCTTCCCTAATGCCTTTTCACGGCTCTAATGAGCAGACTTTGGCGTTATTTATGCGGAAGTTTTCAGCAGTTCCCAGCCATCCCTGAGACAGGAACAGGGCTGGACTTGAGCAGAGCCAGAGCCCCATACATGGGGGTGATTTGTTCTGATTTCAGCCGAAGTCAAGGTTGTAGTTACTTAAAAAAAAATAAAATTCCTTGTTTTAAGTCCCCAGCAAACACAGAATCAAACCAAACCAGGCAGGGTTTGTGGCTGGCAAAGCACAGTGGAGCTGCTATAATAATTTATTTTTATTTTCAAAAATTTCAGCCAGAGTAGAGCAACAAATCAACTGCAGGACAGTTGCAGTCTGTATCAAACCAAATGGAGTAGTTTGGGCCAAATTTTAAGGTTTTTACTGGGGTTTTAAAAAGTTTTTTTCTATGTACAGACACTGGGAAGTAACACCAAAAAATGCTGTTTGAGGAGAGAGTGGCTGGGAGAGGATTTCCCTTGGCGCGGTTGGGAAGCAAAGCCGTGGGTGCAGCTCAGTGGGAGGGGGCAGTGCTGGGCTTTGAGGCCCGGCTGAGCCTTTCACAGCCCCCTCCTCTCCTTTCCCCAGGCCTGCCTCTGCTGGTGCAGAGAACCATCGCCAGGACCATCGTGCTGCAGGAGATCGTGGGCAAGGGGCGCTTCGGCGAGGTGTGGCACGGCAAGTGGTGCGGGGAGGACGTGGCCGTGAAAATCTTCTCCTCCAGAGACGAGCGGTCGTGGTTCCGGGAGGCCGAGATTTACCAGACGGTGATGCTGAGGCACGAGAACATCCTGGGCTTCATCGCTGCCGACAACAAGGGTGAGCAGCACGGGGGCTCCTGCGGGCCCTGCCGGCCCAAACAGCTCCGGTTCCGTGCGCTGCCCTGGGGGATGGCTGCACTCAGTGCTGCTGCAGTGGTGACAGTCACTGAGCGCTGAGCGTCTGTCCCAGCACAGCCTCTGCTGCCCCAGCTCCATCTGAAACACAGCCCTGGGCTCTTCCCTGGCACACCTCCTTGCTGGCATTCCCCAGAAGGGGGAAGCTAACGTTTCCCTAGCTAACGTTGCTGTGAAAAACGCCAATCGCTTGTTTTTAAAACTTTGAAAGTTTAATAGTAATAAAATGGTTATAAAAATAGTAATACAATTAGAGTAATAATAATTTGGACAATTTGAATTAGGACGATGTGAGACAATAGAGACAAAGAGTTATGGATGCCCAGGTACCTTTTCTGGGTAGCACGAGCCTGAAGGAGCCCAAAAAAGGACACCTGTTAACAGAGGATTAACCCTTAAAAGCAACAGCCTGTTGCATATTCATATACTTCGTACACGATGCATAAATTCCATTCAAATACAGGATTCTGTCTGGTCAACTTCTTCCTCCAAATCCTAACAGCGCCTTTGAGGCGGGAAGAAGTTCATTTCTTCTGATAATGGAGCAATCAATTCTTTTTCTCTGAAAGATTCAGGTGTGGCTGCTATCTCAGTGCGAGTCCTTTCTTTAAAAAAAGCATCCTTCATAGCATAGTTTCTATTTTAACATTTTTGTTATAACCTAAAACTATATTTAACACACTACTTAAGAGAATTAATACAGCATTACTTTCTAACACAACACATATAATATTCATTCTAATATTTGCAAAAAGCCAATCATAAAAGACATGCATTTTCCCCAATTTCTAATCCTGCTGCTCCCTCTGCCTAGATAACGGGACGTGGACTCAGCTGTGGCTTGTCTCGGAGTACCACGAGCAGGGCTCGCTGTTTGACTACCTCAACAGGGGCACGGTGACCGTGGAGGGCATGCTCAGGCTGGCGCTGTCCGTGGCCAGCGGCCTGGCACACCTGCACATGGAGATCGTGGGCACGCAAGGCAAGCGCTGCCCTCCCGCTTTCCTTGGGGTGTTTTCAGGAGCTTTGGTGCCCTCACAAACCTTCATGGGCGACGTGGTGTGGTGGAGTGTTCTCCGCGCTGCTGACACCAGGGGGAACAGCGTGGGTGAGGGTGCTGCAGTGCACACAGGGGAGAGGGGCCTTCCCTTCCCCTTCCACCGTCTGCACTTTGCCCGTGCCTCCAAAGAGATGCCTGCAGAAGCAGCTCTGCTGAAGGGGAGTGAGCGTTAATGAAGGAAAAATTAGGAAAGATTTATTCGTGGGAAGGCTTGTCCAGCCCTGGCACAGGTGGGGTACAAAGCTGTGTGGATGTGGCACTTGGGGAAATGGGTTAGTGGTGGCCTTGTCAGTGCTGAGGAACGGTGGGACTCGGTGGTCTTGGAGGGTTTTTCCGACCCAATCCCTTCGGTGATTCTGTAATTTTCTAAATGAATTTGGACGGTGAACTTCCAGTTTCTCTTTTTGTGTTTTATTCCTGAAATACAGATATTGAAAAAAAAATGCTCCTAAAGTTTTCTTTTGAAGTTGAGAACATTTAGCAGAGCTTTGCTTCGTTCAAAATAGGTTTCTATAGTTCTATAGGGTACAGTAAGAGAAGCGAATAAAACTGTTTTACATCCTTGCTCCTTATATTAAATCCACACCGTTGTTACCAAAACTGGAGGCGGTTTCTGTTGCTGTGAGCAGGGAAGCCGGCGATCGCTCACCGGGATCTGAAATCCAAGAACATCCTGGTGAAGAGGAACGAGACCTGCGCCATCGCCGACCTGGGGCTGGCGGTGAAGCACGACTCGGTGCTCAACACCATCGACATCCCCCAGAACCCCCGCGTGGGCACCCGCAGGTGGGTCAGGCACTGCGGCCCCAGAACAGCCCCCAGAACCCCCGCGTGGGCGCCAGGAGGTGGGTCAGGCACTGCGGCCCCTGGGCATGGCCCCTCGCAGCCCTGTCCCCGTCAGCCGCGTCCCCTCTGCCCTGGCACCGGGCAGGGATGGCCGCAGCCCCGTGGGGAGGGAGGGAGGCTGGGTGGGGGGGAGGCTGCAGACCCTGCTGTGGATGAGCTCTCTGCCCCACGGGAGGCACGATGTGCTGGTCACCCCGGTGCCCTGGGCTGGGCAGGGCACAGCTGGCGGCACCACGAGGGCTCACAGGGCTCCCTGCCAGCACAGCTGTGCCTTTGGTGGGAGCTGCCCCAGCAGAGCGACCCCGTGTGCCCCACAGGTACATGGCCCCCGAGATCCTGGAGGACGCGATGAACACCAACATCTTTGAGTCCTTCAAGCGGGCAGACATGTACTCCCTGGGGCTGGTGTACTGGGAGATCGCCCGCAGGTGCTCCGTCGGAGGTGAGCCTCTGCCCGTCCACCCGGTCCCCGATGGGTTTGGGGTGGCGGGGACAGCGGAGCCCTCCCGTTCCACCCCTGCCCTGGGCACCCGCATCTCCCCAGGGGTCACCGAGGAGTACCAGCTGCCTTACTACGACCTTGTGCCTTCCGACCCTTCGATTGAGGATATGAGAAGGGTTGTCTGTGAACAGAAGCTCAGACCAAGTATTCCAAACCAGTGGCAGAGCTGTGAGGTAAAAGCAATTTTCTAGTTTATTCTAGGTTCATTTTGTAAGTTTTTTTTTCTAGTTTTATTTTGTTATTTGTATTTTCAAGTTTAAGTCAAGACAGAATTTTGCAGTGAGAGATAGGGCACTTAATGCCCAGCTTCTCCTGAATTTAGGAGCTTCAGATATCTAGCTGTCCTTCAGATCAATACAGAAAAAAACTCTCTGTACCAAGTGCTCGATGCTGTCCAAGGCAGCTCTTAATTGATGCTGCTGCTGTTGTGTCACTGTTTCAGAGCACTGCACTTTATCTCCCTGTATTAAAACCGGAAAGCAGGGGGTGGTGGTTGCATCTCTGGCTGTTGTCTGTCCCCCTGCAGACCCTGTTTGTACCTGGGTCCCATTTCTATCCCCCAGCCCCTATCTGTACCCTGGTCCAATTTCTGTCCCTACACATCCTGTTTGTACCCTGGTCCCATTTCTATCCCTACACATCCTGTTTGTTCCCAGGTCCCATTTCTATCCCCCAGCCCCTGTCTGTACCCAGTCCCATCTCTGTCCCCAACCCCTGTCAGTACCGGTCCCGTTCCCATCCCCAGCCCCTGGGTGTACCAGCTCCTGTTTCAGTCCCCACACGCCCTGTTTGTTCCCAGGTCCCATTTCTGTCCCCACACCCTGTTTGTACCCTGGGTCCTATTTCTATCCCCCAGCCCCTGTTTGTACCCAGGTCCCATCTCTGTCCCCAGCCCCTCTCTGCACCCTGATCCCGTTTCCATCCTCCAGCCCCTGTCCGTACCCATCCCCGTCCCCATCCCCAGCCCCTGTCTGTACCCAGTCCCATCCCCAGCCCCTGTCTGTACCCATCCCCGTCCCCATCCCCAGCCCCTGTCTGTACCCATCCCCGTCCCCATGCCCAGCCCCTGTCTGTACCCATTCTCGTTCCCATGCCCAGCCCCTGTCTGTACCCATTCCCGTCCCCATGCCCAGCCCCTGTCTGTACCCATCCCCGTCCCCATCCCCATCCCCTGTCTGTACCCAGTCCCGTCCCCAGCCCCTGTCCGTACCCATCCCCGTCCCCATGCCCAGCCCTGCTGAGTGCCCGCTGGTGCCCGGCAGGCGCTGCGGGTGCTGGGCCGGCTGATGCGGGAGTGCTGGCGCGCCAGCGGTGCCGCGCGTCTCACGGCGCTGCGCGTCAAGAAAACCATCTCCCAGCTCTGCGTGCCCGAGGACTGCAAGGCCTGACGGCCCGGGGACGGGGGACGGGGTGCCGTGCTGCCCGGCCCCCACTCGGCAGGGTTTGTGTTCCTGCTCTACCTCAGACGGCGCGGGCGGCGCCCGGCTCCGGCGCTGTGCCCGGCCCTGGCACCGCGCACCTCGGGGTTTGGGGTTGGTACGGCAAGTCCGTGACTTGCTCTGGCTTGGCTCGGTGAATCAGACACCGGTGAATGGCAGGAGGGAGCTTACAGCATCATGGCTCTGTAAAAACACCTTTTGCTGTTGTGCTTTTCATCCTTGTCAGACCCCAAACGCCCTGGAAGTGTCTGGTGTTGGTTAAAGCCTGTTTGTGAGACAAACCTCGTGTTCTGTCCTCAAACCAAGTAAAAGACCAAATTAACCCCGATTTTTACCTGTTTTTTTTATTTAATTTTATTTCAGGGATCTGAAAAGTGGTTGTCAGTAAATGCATTTTGAATTACTGTATTTATAATTAACCAAGCAATTAGAAAAGATGAAAATTCCACTAAATGTGTACACTGTGAGCAAAACCATTGAGTCAGTTCCATATTAACATTTATTTTTATTGTCTCAATTTCACATACAATATCATGGTTAGAATTTGTATGTCATACAATATCATGGTTAAAATTTGAGTTGTTTTACTCTGTCTTTTGTTCATTGAACAGATCAATGAAGGGACAACTTTTCCTTTTAACAGTTGTTAGGAAAAATAATAGAGGCAACACTTTTCTGTTAGCTGTGAAGGGATGGAACAGGAGAAGTTCTACCTAAACTGAGAAAATATTTATTTTTAGCAATGTTTTTCCAATCACTGGCAGCAATTTTTTAGTGCCTTTTGATGTATTAGGGGGAAGCTTTAACAAATGCTAATGCAATGTGTTCAGAGGTTTGTTATAGAATTTTGTAACAGCACCAGGCTGGTGATGAATATTTACATTTCTGACCAGGTTTCCATAATATCAGAAGCCAGCAACATGAGTTGCTGTGTTAAAATTCAAGTGTTCTGGCATTTTGTGAACGGCCCACATATTTGAATATAGTGTTGGAGTATTCTTAATAGGCAAAATTATACATTTCATAGTCTTATGGTTCTTTAAATGTTTCTAAATCCATCTGGCCCATGGGAATTAATCCTGGAGATGTTTCCAGAATACAAAGCTTTGCAGAAATCTGGTGTGGCCCCCACAGGTCCATGGCAGGAGCTGTTGGTGCAAAATCTCTTCACTGGAGCTGTTGTGGGCAAGAACGTGTTAAATTTTACTGAGTTTGAGTCAGCGGTGCCATCCATTCCTCGGGTTTCACCTGCTGTGCTCACCCTCAGGAGGCCATGCGTGGGCTTTGGGCAGCTCGAGAGCTCAGCCTGCAGGGCTCTGAGTGCTGCAGCAGGCACTGCAGCCTGCTGCTGTCTGCTGCAGCCAGCCCTGCAGCGCAGCCCTGCAGCCCAGCCCTGCATCCTGCTCCCCTCCGCTGCAGCCAGCCCTGCATCCTGCTCCCCTCCGCTGCAGCCAGCCCTGCAGCGCAGCCCTGCATCCTGCTCCCCTCCGCTGCAGCCAGCCCTGCAGCCCAGCCCTGCAGCCCAGCCCTGCATCCTGCTCCCCTCCGCTGCAGCCCAGCCCTGCAACCCAGCCCTGCAGCCCAGCCCTGCATCCTGCTCCCCTCCGCTGCAGCCCAGCCCTGCAGCCCAGCCCTGCATCCTGCTCCCCTCCGCTGCAGCCAGCCCTGCAGCCCAGCCCTGCAGCCCAGCCCTGCATCCTGCTCCCCTCCGCTGCAGCCCAGCCCTGCAGCCCAGCCCTGCATCCTGCTCCCCTCCGCTGCAGCCAGCCCTGCAGCCCAGCCCTGCATCCTGCTCCCCTCCGCTGCAGCCAGCCCTGCTGCATGGTGGCTTCTCACACCTCCCCAAGGCTGCCTTAGGGATCCACGGCAGGGGATGGGGCTTGGAGCAGCCTGGTCCATGGGAGGTGCCCCTGCGAGGTAAAACCAGACAGGCTTTAAGGTCTCTGCCGACCCAAACCATTCTGGGGTTCCGCGATTCAGTTCCTGTGTGCTCCAAGTGCACGAACGCCCCATGGAGCTCAGTGGTGTGGCTCTGCAGGCTGCTTGAGGGGTGATCTTGGCAGCTGCATGATCCAAAGCCTGGTGCTGACTTGACTATCAAAAAAAAATTGCAAAGCTAAGGCCCAGCATCTGTTCTTGTAGTTTGTGCAAGAACATACTATCTTAAAAAGGAAGAATCAAAGCTTTGTTTTTTTTTTTAAGTGGGAAAAGAGTTCCAGTTTTCAGTTTCTCCCCTGGAGCCTCTGAAAACTGTTGACCAGCCCAGTAATTTGAACAAGACCCTGTTGGTGCCTGGCTGGGAAGTGTGGGTGGAGGATGCTCAGGCTCGGCTCCTCCTCACACAGGTCACAGCTCCAGCCCCAGCAGTGCTTTAACCTTTTCCCTGGACACAGCTCTTGGCACCACATTATGGTCTGTTTGCCCTGGCTTTTCACCCAGCTCAGTATTTTTGCTCTGGTTTTCTTTTCTCTTTTGTTGTTGAGGGGTGAGTGTACATTTTGATGGATTGGAGTTGAGCGCAACTGAGCCAAGGGGCTGATGTTGTGTTGAGCTCTGAAATGTTTGTAAACTCTACAGTCCTCTAGAAAATCTCCAAAGAACCCTTGTTTTAGTGGCCTTTCCCCTCCATGTGGGTTTGTCTTGGTCTAATTTAAGCACAGAGGTTATGCCAAGACCCTTCTGTGCAGTTTAGGGAGGCTTAGGTTTCCTCAGAGGTCACAATGCTCCTGATAATCTTCACTTAAAGCAAAAGTTCTTAAACTCATGAAAATTTTCAAGGTCAAGGATGCTCAAAACCTGTTACCACAATCAGCTTCTCCTAATTGATGCTTCTAACTGGGGGGGAATAACCAATATTTTATAATTTGCTTCTAATAATAATCTAAAGTTTAATGTAGGGATTATGCACTGAAAGGGAAAGTTAATTAATGTTTCCTGTAACACCTAATTTTTTTTTGTATTACTTGAACTGCTGCCCCCACACACTCCTTTAGAAATTCAGGCTGTAATCTCTTTTGCACTCCTCTACTTTTATAATTTGCACTTAATCAAGCTCATTCCCTCACATGACACTAGGAAGAGTCCTGCAATATTTTAGCAATTGCTGTGTCGCTTTGCTCGGTACTAGATTCAGGAATTAGGAATAAATGGGTGTGTGAGTATGGCCTGTCCCCACAGTGGGTCTGGGCTTTGAGCAGGGCGAGTTCTCCTCGGTCCCCGCAGCTCCTGTGCCAGGGTGGGCTCGAGGCTGCCCCAGCTCACGGCAGGGAGGGGTTTGGGCTTTGCCTGGGGGCAGCATCGCAGCACAGGGCCGGGGGGGACAGGGGGGCACTGGGGGCTGCAGGTGGGCACACGCTGGGCACTCCTTTGGGTGCACGGGGGGACTGGCACAGCCTCTGTGTGCTGGTGAAGGGAATGGTCAAACCCCTGCTCTGGGTCACTGAGGGTGTATTGGGGTGTCCTCGGGGTGTCCTCGGGGTGTCCTTGAGCCATCCCTGGGGACCCCAGGGCCAGCACCTGGGTGTCCCAGCAGCCCTGCACGTCTGCCCCTCCTCTGGCCCTGGCTGTGTGTCTGTGATCCCAGGGACCATCCCCACGGGCCGTGGGACCCCAGCCCCCCAGAGCCTTTAGGGAAAGATGTCCACGTTCTGCTCTAGTGGGCAGAGCAATATTTATGAATGTACAGGGAATAAGCACCGAGGTACAATATATTTCTACAGAATATAAGAAATGTGCAATAAATTGTAACTAACGCTGAATGTATTTTTGGCATAAATGGACCAGATGTGTTTTGAATGTAGCTATCACATTGTGTCTAAGCCTGCTGTGATTCTCAGTCCCTAAGAAAAACGTGTCATGTTTTGTCAATCTACAAACCACTTCCTCAGTTGTCTGTTTTTAAAAGAAGCGTCAGTATTTTATCTGGAACACTGTAATATTTCTGAACTAAGTATAGCAGTGCAATGCTAACTTCAACCCTCGTGTTGTGAAATATCTGATCTGTGTACACTGCAGAGTTATTTTTAAAACTATTGCTAAAGTTATTGCTTGATATTGCAGCTGCCTGGATGTAAATAATGGTTTAGCTGTTGTATTTTGTATGCGGATTTGGGGAAGACGTGGCAATTTTAATAAATTCAGCATACTCTGCCCTTGTGTTCCCGTGGCCTGAAATTGTTCTTATGTTCATCGTGTGAGGGGAGGAGGGTTGAGCCTGTGTGAGCCTGTGGAACCCTTCCCTCGTGTCTCTTGCACCCACAGCAGTGTGAGCTCTCCCTGAGCTCCCTTTCACACAGCACTCCTGATCCTGCTCTTCCCCCTAGTGAGATTTTCAGTGCTGCAAACCTGAGTGGGACCAGCCCACTCTGAGCACTCAGTTCTGGAGTGTGCATGCTTGAAAATCCCCCTGACACAGCCATAATCCGGGAATTTAAATCAGACTAAACTTAAGGGATGTCAAAATGAAATCTGCCGTGCTGTGACCCAAGAAACTTCGGTGGCTTTTGAAGGATACTGTGGGGGTTTTTTGGGTTTTTCCCCCTTAACAAGACCTTTGCATTGCAGCAGTTACTCGCGGTCTCTCTGGTCCCTGCCCGTCTCCAGGCCGGTGTCACCGTCACGGCGGTGGCTGTGCGCGGGCAGCCGGGTCCGATGGCCCAGCACGGCCAGGGGCTCTCGGTGAGCATCGGCTGCCATCCCATCCCCCGGCCAGCCCGGCCCCGGGGAGCTGCGTGCTGTCCGTGCAGCCCCGGGCCCCGGGGAGCTGCGTGCTGCCGTTCCAGACCCGGGCCCCGGAGAGCTGCGTGCTGCCGTTCCAGCCCCGGGCCCCGGAGAGCTGCGTGCTGCACCTGAACCAGCTCCGAGCCCTGCCGGGGCTGCTCTGCCCGGGCACCTGTGAGCCCTGACAGCTGCTCTGCCCTGAACCGGACACCGTGAGCCCTGCCCGGACACCGTGAGCCCTGCCGGGGCCAGGGTTCCCTGCCGGGGATGCAGGGTGCGGGGCTGTGCAGGGCTCAGAGCAGCGCAGGGTAACGGGGCCGCTGGAGCAGCTCGCACCGAGGTCCTGCTTGGTGCTCTGGTGGGAGGTGTCGTTTATTTCTGCCCTCGGCTTGTTTGCAGATGAGTCACCGGGTTTCAGGAGCGTCAGCAAGGGCTGCCGGAGGAAGCGAAACGCGCTTTGTTTTCGAGCACTCGGCGCGGTGACCGTGAGCAGGAAAAGGGGAAGAGGCTTTGAGTCACCGCGCCTCGGCGATGAGCACACGGCACCCGGGGGCGCAGATATTTCCCTCAGGAAAAGGGAGAGAGCTTTCCCCCTCGCCTGCTGTGCTTTTTGAACATCGTTTTTCCTTCCCTTAGCCCGGAGGGGTTCTCCCAAGGAACTCGGAGGTGAAGCACAGACGTCTGAATCCCTTGTCGTGGTGCTGCTGTGTGCAGCACTTCCCTGTCGCTGTCCGTCCGCCAGGAGAGGCACGGGGACCGCAGCCACCAGCCCTCCTCCGGGTGGCAGGAGCAGATGTTTCCTGACAGGCTGTTTCTGTGCCCTGAGATGCCGGGTTTTTGAGGGATGAACCTTTAGGATGGGTTTGTACTGACATTTCAGCCGTCCAGGGCAATGAGGGGATCCCCGGGAGTGGGGGAAGCTCCATCCCAACGCTTCCCTGGCACTAAGAGCTCATCTGCACCAGCAAGTGTGGGCACCTCCTCCCTGGACACCCATCCTGCAGCTCCTCCATGGGCACCCATCCTACAGCTCCTCCCTGGACACCCATCCCTGTCCCTCCTCCATGGGCACCCATCCCTGCAGCTCCTCCATGGACACCCATCCTGCAGCTCCTCCATGGGCACCCATCCCTGTCCCTCCTCCATGGGCACCCATCCTGCAGCTCCTCCCTGGACACCCATCCCTGCAGCTCCTCCATGGGCACCCATCCCTGTCCCTCCTCCATGGGCACCCATCCCTGCAGCTCCTCCATGGGCACCCATCCTGCAGCTCCTCCCTGGACACCCATCCCTGCAGCTCCTCCATGGGCACCCATCCTGCAGCTCCTCCATGGGCACCCATCCCTGTCCCTCCTCCATGGGCACCCATCCTGCAGCTCCTCGGCTGCAGCCGGCAGAGGCAGGGGCCTTACAGAAGGTGTGCAGAGCAGCTCTGCCTTGATCTGTCATGCCAGCCTGCCCTGAGCTTCCACAAGCTGGCAGGCAGAGCCCAGCAGCCTCAGCCCACAGTCCTGGCTGCCCCCTGTCCTGCCTGGGCCCTGCCAGCCTTTCCTGCTGGAGCTGGCAGTCACAGGTGTGTGTGGCAATGCTTCATCAAGGTACGTAAAAGGTCCGTACGCAGAAAAATGACAGTAACCCGTGTGTTTTTATTACTTCTTTGTTTTGATACTGGGGCCCTGCTTTTCCCCTTGCAGGCTCACATCCCAGCCAGGGTTAATTGTGTGCAGGTCTGGCTGCTGTGCGCAGTTCTGCCCCTGGTGTTTGTCCCAACAAGAGCTGTCCCAGTGAGTGTCTGTCAGGATGGCCAGCCTGTGGCAGCAGCTGCTGCAGGGCACTGACAGCCAGCCGGGCCAGCAGCTGGGCCACAGGGAACAGGGCTGTGTCCAGCAGTGGGGACACAGGGCTCCATGGTGCCAGGGCTCCGTGGGTGTTCAGGGCTTGGCTGGGGGCTGCCAGGGCTGGCAAACTGCTCTGCCCAGGGCTCTCCTGTCCTCCTGCACTGCTGACCTGTGCCTGAGGGCAGCAGGGACAGGCACCCACTCCAGTGACTCCCCAGGCCCAGGGCTGCTGCCTGTGCCTCTCCATCTCGTCCAGGAGCAGGGAATCTGAAGGCTACTCAAAGCCATGCTGAAGCAACACCAGGTCAGGTGATAACTGGAGAGAAAAACCAACCCAGCCAGAAGTTCTCAGAGCCATCAATGTTCCTCGAGCTCTGGCCATGCAGGAAAGGTGCAGGGATGGCATCTGGCCAGGGCTGTCCCTGGCACCGTGCCTGTCCCTGGCAGCGCCCTGTGCCCTGGGGGCTCTGCAGGTCTTTGCTGTGCCTCGGTCCCCAGGGTGACCCGAGTGCGGCTGAGGGCGCTGTCCTGCCCTCACCCTGCCCCGCCTCAGCCTCTGCTCCCGGCCTGCAGCTCCCGTTTCCCGCTGCAGCTGGAGGAGCTGCGCTGGCACCACCAGCCGAGGGCGGTGTCGCTTTCCCATCCTTGCCAAAGGTGAGTGCAGGGATGCCGGGGATGCCGAGCAAGTCAGAGAGTGAACAGGTTGGGGTCAGGTGAGTGCCCGGGGCGGGCAGGGCGGTGAGGACAAACCCTGGCAGAGCAGCAGCTGCCGGTGGGAGCTGTGCTCAGGAATGGAAAAATTAAGCAGATTTCCGCAACTGCCAAGCCCGATTGTTAACTCCCGTGTGAGCACAAGGCGCACCGAGGCCTGGGGCTCTGCTAGGAGGGATTTGTGTAAGTCGCACCTAAACCACAGGTCACGTGGAGGCCCTTCCGCCCTCGCCCTGCTCGGAGCGGGGCAGCGGGGCCAGGCACGGGGCTCGGCGTACCCGGGCACGGCACAGAGATCACCCTGAGCCTGGCACGGCACAGAGCTCACCTGGGGCCGGCACGGCACAGCACTCATCCTGAACCCCAGGAGCTGCCCTGAGCCTCGCACGGCGCAGCATTCACCCTGAACCTGGCACAGCGCTCACCCTGAGCCTCGGGAGCTGCCCCGAGCCCGGCCAAGGCACAGCGCTCGCCCCGAACCTGGCACTGCTCACCCTGAGCCCGGCACGGCACAGCGCTCGCCCCGAGCCCCGCATGGCCCTGCGGCGGCTCCTGCAGCCCAGCTCCAGCTGCAGCTCCTGCGAGGAGCCGGCACCGCCCGCGGACGGCAGGAGGATGCAGCACCTGGCCAGCACGGTGGGCACGCTGCCCCGCGGCCGCAGGCAGGTACGGGCCGTGCCCAGCCCGGGACGGACCCCGGGCTCTCTGTGCTCCGGGCAGGGCTGGGCAGGGCTGGGAGGGCGACTGCGGGCTGGTTTGGGGTGCCAGGGGAGCTCTGGCAGCGCTGGCGGTGTGGGGAGCTCTGCGAGAGTGAGGGATGCTCGGGCTGCAAAGGGCGGCGGCAGCTGAGCCCGGCCCGGCTGGACTCCGCATCTCCAGCCCTGCTGGCAGCCAGGGAGGGTTTGTGCTGTCTGAGTGCTCCTTCGAATGTGCATTACCTGGGCCAGGCGGCCTGGCTGCCCTGTCCTGCAGGGCTGGCAGCAATGACACCACGAGCCATTTCCGTGTGGATCTGGGGTGTTTCAGTACTGGCTCCACTGCTGGGCTGTTCCCCAGAGCAGCACAGGGCAGCACAATTCCCCGGGTTCCCACAGAACCGAGCTGGTGGTCGGCTGAGCAGCGCAGCTCTGGGCTGTTTGTCTGACACGAGGGACCACTACAGAAGGTGCCTGTGGGGCGTGAGGATCTGAAAGCATAACCAGAAACTCCGCTGCGATAGCTGTGCTCCCCAGGCTGTGCTTGCTCGGCTGCAGAGGGGCCCTGGACCTTCCCTTGGCACACACGTGTGAGGGGACGGGCAGGGCCAGAGCCGGGCTGGCAGGGGGTGCCCCGGGGGCTGCAGCCCCACCGGAGCCCTCGGGGGCCGGGAGTGCTGAGGTGACAGTGGCGCTGCTGTGGCTGGGGCTGGCAAAGCTGAGCTACGCCCGGGCCAAGGTGGCACCGCAGGGACCGTGCCCAGGGCAGGGCTCCCTCGCCCAGGCCCTCTCATGCCCCCCAGAAGGATTGATTACACCCGGCCCCCCTCTCCTGCCCTTGTCCCTCGCAGTAAATGCACCCGGTCCATGAGGGGCTGTTTCTGCAGCAGGTCACACCGTGGCACCACTTCATCCTGCTGAGGAGACATCCGCTCTGCTGGCTACAGACCTCTCACTGACAGTGCAACTCCTTATTCCCGGCTCACTTGTAGGGGCAGAACCCAATAGAAGGCCGTGTTTGACACAGACCTGGCTCTCCCAGGGAGCTCTCCAGGCACAGCGTCCCTGGCCTGAGCAGGGCCTGGCGGGAGATGCTGTGCAGGGCCCAGGGTGTGCTCTCCCTGCCTCGGGGTGCCTCTCCTGGCAGTGCTCAGTTTGTAAACACACACAGAATTTTAGAGGAAAGGGACGAAAGTGAGATGAGTTCTTGGCACAACAGAGATGTGATCTGTGCTCTGAGCTTGCCACCAGCATCTGACAGGAGGATTTGGCCTCCAGATGCTTTTCCTCCTGGTCAGAAAGTTCAAGCTCTCCTTTGACCAAGGCAGAGGTGTTGGTGGGATGCCAGCAGCTGTTTTTAGTTCATCTCTGAACTCCTGGTTTTATCTGAATGCCTCAAAGAACCACAAACCTACTGATGCCTTTCCTCTCCTGTTTCACAGCTTGCCCTGTCCAGATCCATCTCCTTGGGCGACCCCACCAAGCCACAGAGGTATGATTCTGTGATTCTGTGACTCTGTGATTCTGTGATTCTAGAGTCACTGCTCCTGGCTTGTTCTGCATGAAAGGTGCGTGCCAGGAACTGTGGCAGCCCAGGTGGGATCGGGGTGCGAGGCACAGAGTGGTACCCAGCACCTGGGATCGGCAGGTGCAGCTGTGACCTCTGGCTTGGGCATGGGAACGGGCAGCACCACCTTGGGAGGGACAGCAAGGTGACACCCCAAAGCGTGGTGACACCCTGCAGGCACAGGGAGGGACAGCAAGGTGACACCCCAAAGCGTGGTGACACCCTGCAGGCACAGGGAGGGACAGCATGGTGACACCCCATGGTGTGGTGACACCCCATGGCACAGAGAGGGACAGTGTGGTGACACCCCAAAGCGTGGTGACACCCCATGGCACAGGGAGGGACAATGGGGGGACACCCCTGTTTTGGGTGGAAATGAGGCCCACAAGGAGCAGCTCCCGTGAATTCTGTGTGCTCCTCCTGCAGGAACCTCGTTTCTATATTGAAAGAAGACAAAGAGACGTTTGGGTTTGAAATCCAGGTAAGACCTAAGTGACAAGTAGTTTCACTAAAAACAAAATGTGGTGCGGAGTCTGAAGTGCCATAACCCCCAAAGCAGCCGAGGCAGGCCAGAGCAGAGGAAGGGGCTGTCAGAGCCTGTGAAATCTGAAGGGATTACAGCCCTCATACAAGACAGGGATGTTTCTCTGAGGATTTTTTCATGGTGAACGTCACAGATGAGAATTTCTGGCCTTCTCACAAGACTGTTGAATGCAGGAGAAATCCCATCCAAATCCAAATCAGAGGCAATGATAGTGCCTTCTTTCCTCCAAAAATAAGTGAATATTTTTGGGAGAATTGTATATAAGAATATTTTCAAATGAGAAAGACCAAAAAACTCTCTTAAAAATTACCTTATACTGGCTTTTTGCTACCTCCTTTAATCCGCACGGAGAGATATGTACTTTTCAGGAAGATGTACAATACTTTTCCATAAATACCTGCTAAGCATGACTTTTGGGGCAGGAGCTAAATCATATAGGAAGAGATTCTGTTTGGTGTAGAAGTCAGTAAGTCATCAAGCAGGAGAACCAGAATGTCACCAGCAGCACTGCTAGGGAGAGATTCTGTGTTTTTGGGTTTTTGTGAGAAAGGTAACTCCTGATCAGCAGGTCTGCTGAAATCCTGGGTAAAGCTGAAAAGTGATCCCAGCAATAAAGGCATAACTTTGGGAGCAGAGGAATCTGCCTGCCAGCAGCAGGGCACCTTCTAAGTGCTTTCCTCTGTCCGCACACAAGGGGAAAAAGTGTTTTCTGTGAAATTAGTGTGCTAGGAAAAGCTCACCTTTGCCCAGTTTGGGTGTGTGACTAATGAGGGGTTCAGCACTCAGCTCGTGAACAGAGGAGAGCTTTCAGAAGGGAGGATAATTGAGTCGATTATTGGGCTTTTGTGTAAATTGTCAGGGCAGATTTTCATTAAGCGTGGCATTCTGATTAAAAATAATTGTTCTTGGCACATTTTCTTCCTGAACATACATTCAGTGTGAGCACTGCATAGGGCTGCAGAGAGGCAGCATCCGTCAGCTACTGAGGGTGTTTAGGAGCTGCAGCTCCATCACTAGGAGATAAATTCAGGCAAAGCAGAATAAGGTGATGTGAAACCCTAGGTGTCCATCGGCAGGGAGCTCATGCTTCACTCGTCACTCTCAGTTTAGGCACCAATTTAACTGCGGTTCCAAAGGCTGGAAACGCCAGGGCACGGGGGGATTTGGCCAGAGGAGCTCTGAGCTTCCCCGGCCTCCCCCCCTTTGCTCCACCCTGGCTGGGAAATGTGGGCTCCCAATGAGCTGTCCCTGGGCTGGAAGGGGCAGTGGCAGGTTTCCAGGAAACCCAGGTGGAATTTGCATGTCACAGAAAAGGTTTCCTGCTGCCGCAGGACCCGGACAGGCTGCGGCACCGCAGTTTGCATTTTTCTGAATTCTTGTCAGCACCCATAACCACACGAGGGATTTAGAGTAATTACAGTTACTAAATGTTCAGCTAAATGTGCGCGTCAAAAATAAGAAGCACTTCGAGGAGTGTGGGGATGTGTGTGTGGGCGACAAGTTCCAGAGGCCAGAAGAGCAAAAGTAAGTTTAGATCTTCTGTCTTTTCAGCTCCCATGCAAACTGAGCTGGCTGGGAGCAGCAGCTGCCTCCACACAGCATTCCCAATGAATGGGAGTCAATCCCTTGGAAAGCCCCAGGCCCATCCTGTCATGTTCCCATGAGACATCCTTCCAGAAAGCCATTCCCACCCATGCTGACGTATTCTTGGTTGAAGTCACAGAGGTTTTAATGCTGAATAACCAGCTTGCTGTAAAACTTTTTGTTTAAAACAAAAAACAAACAAACAAAAATAAAACCCACCAGGCATCAGCCTGTTTTTAACACTTGCTTGTTGGGTTTTTTTCCCAAACCCTGTGTACAGGCACCTGTCAAGTGGCTACTCTTTTCTGCGGTACAAATGCATTTTTAATTGTTGGGTTATAGCATTTTGATCTCGCTCACATGTAGTGTGCTCTGCTCATCACAGCTCATTGAAAAAGCGCTGAATTTACCTGGTTTTCATGGCTCCAGGGTCGGTAACTGTGTCCCTTTGGCACTAACAGACCATCAGGTTCCCACAGCAGAATGATTTCTCCCTGGAGGTGTGCACGTGTGTCTGCAGGGTCCAGGAGGAGAGCCCTGCCCACCTCTCCGGCCTCCAGACCGGTAAATAACTGTCCCTGGGCGTTCCTGGCCCTCCTGGGTTCCCCTGGAGCAGGGCAGGTGGGCAGGGGCTGCTGATGCCACCCTGGCCTCTGCGTGTGTCCCTGGCAGGTGACATCCTCGCCTGCATCAACGGCGTCAGCGTCGAGGGCTTTGGGCACAAGCAAATAGTGGACTTGATAAAGTCTTCAGGGAACTACTTGAGGTGGGTGTCTCTCCTTTGGGTGGGCTTTGGCCTCCTTTCCTCTGCCTCTGAAGGCAGCGCCGTGCTGCCCCACAGCCCTGCAGTGCCCGGGGCAGAGATCCCCAGGCTGGGCTGGGCAGAGCCTCGGTGCCTCAGGGCAGCACCACCCTTCCCACAGGTTAGAGACTGTCAACGGGGCCTTTTTCCTGAGGAAAATGGAGCTGGAGACCAAACTGCGGGCTCTCAAGGTAATGGGATTAATTGTTTGTTCCCCTGTCAAGTGAAGATGACTGTGGGCTCACTGCTGATGGGGGACAGTGGGTGCCCATGGGACAGGGGGTCCTGGCAAGGGCTGACACCCTTGGGTTCCCTGCTGCCAGCACCCCCAGCCACCCCAGCCTTGCTGCCCCTGATATTATTTTATGGAAACCTGGAGGAATGTATATTATGGAAATAGAGGAGGAATGTGCTCACAACCCCAGCACTGCCCGGGTGAGCTCAGGCCGGTCAGTTTGGTGTGGGAATCTGCACAGAGCCCATGGGCTGGTGGGGAGGTGCCTTCTGTGCTGTCCGCAGGCACAGCCTCGCCTGTTTGGCGTCTTTACCCAGCTCTGCAGCGCTGTGTTTCACCCCCAGAGCTGAGGGAGGGCAGCTGAGGGCATCGCATTGCTGGGTGTTGGGTGGCTGGGGCTGTCAGGATTTCCAGGCGTGCCCCCAGGGCGGGCAGGGTGCCTGTGCCGTTCCTGCTGTGAGGAGAGTGGGGTGCCCGCTCCGGTGGGCGCTCCAGGGCGGGCAGGGCTGCAGCAGGGCGCTGGCATTGCCTCAGCGGGTGCAGGGGGCTCCGTGCTCCCCAGGCAGGTTCCAGGCTGCTCCCTTCCCAAACGGGACAGGGCAGTGCTTCGGCTGGAGCACCCCAGCCATGAGCCAAGCCCTGTGTTCTGGAAGAAGTTTGCCAAACTCTGGCACAGCCGGGTGTTTCCCGAGGGTGACCTGCGCTTGCACACACTGTTTGGCTTCCCTGGAGTGACCGAGCTGCTGTTCCCTGTCCCACAGCAGGCGCTGCACCAGCGCTGGGGAGAGCTGCGGGCGCTGCTGGCCCGGGAGCGGCTCCTGCTGCACGGTACGTGTGTGGGGGACCCTTCTGTGAAACTCTGCCATCCCACCGGCACTGCCTGCCCTTCCCTGCTCAGGAGGGCGGGGGGCTGGCCTGGGAACGCTTTGTGCCAGGGCAGTGACCTTGGCTGCTGCTTGACCAAGGGCTCCTTGCATCACTCCTGGGCTGGGAGTTTTGTGGGTGGTAAATTTATTTCATTCTTACTTTGGTATTACGGGGGAAGGGGCTGGGTTGGGTTTCGTATGGACTGCCCAGGGTGCAGGGAGCACCTCACAAGCAGGAGCAGCTGCCCACGTGGGAAGGGGCTGCTCCCTGTGCCAAGGGCTGGGCACGATGCTCTCGGTGCTGCCAGGGCACAGAGTGCTGCTCCTGGCGAGGGGTGGGCTGGCCAAGCTGCCGTCTAGCCAACGCTGCTCTCTGGCTATTGCTGCCCTCTGGCCAACGCTGCCCTCTGGCTAGGGCTGCTCTCTGGCTAGGGCTGCCCTCTGGCCAACGCTGCCCTCTGGCCAGCGCTGCTCTCTGGCCAGCACTTCCCTCTGGCCAACGCTGCCCTTTGGTTAATGCTGCTCTCTGGCCAACGCTGCTCTCTGGTCAACGCTGCTCTCTGTCCAGCACTGCCCTCTGGCCAACGCTGCTCTCTGGTCAACGCTGCTCCCTGGCCAGCACTTCCCTCTGGCCAACGCTGCCCTCTGGTTAACACTGCTCTCTGTCCAAGGCTGCTCTCTGGCCAACGCTGCCCTCTGGTTAACGCTGCCCTCTGGTTAACGCTGCCCTCTGTCCAAGGCTGCTCTCTGGCCAACGCTGCCCTTTGGCCAACGCTGCTCTCTGGCCAACTCTGCTCTCTGATTAACACTGCCCTCTGTCCAGCGCTGCTCTCTGGCTCACGCTGCTCTCTGGTTTCCAGGGGAGGTGAACGACAACGCCCTTCTGGGCTCGCTGGAGCCGGTAGAGCCCGGCTCGGCTGGCGGCTGCAGCTCGCCGGGCCCCTTCCTGCCGGGCAATCCGCGCCTGTCCAGCGAGAGCAGCTCCCGCAGCCGGCTGAGCTCCATGACGGTGGGCAGCGAGGACAGCTTCTACCAGGGCAGCGCCGCCGAGGACTGGGCTGCGGAGAGCCTGAGCCGGCAGTCCAGCCTGGACGATGACTGCGTGTTCCGCAGGGACGGCCCCGGGGCCGCGGGCAGGGCCTCGGTGCGGCGGCACCGCAGCATCAGCCTGGCCGGCAGCAGCGCCAGCCTGGCCAGCAGCGGCTCCGCGTCCCCGCTCTGGGACAGTGGCGGGGGCTCCAGCAGCTTCGGCACCCTCCCGCGCAAGAGCCGCAGGGCCAGCGTGCGGAAACACCTCCTGAAATTCATCCCCGGCTTCCAGCGCGCCGTGGAGGAGGAGGAAAGCCGGGTCTGATGTCGCAGTGTCACCCTTGATGGCCTGGGGCTGCCCCATGGGGCACACGGCGGTGGCACCGCGGGGCACTGCCCGGACAACAGCTCTGATCAGAGCCACGCGGCTCTGGGGTTTTAATTATTTTCGTTTTCAATCAGAGCACGCGGCGGACCTCTTCTTCATTAACGTGAAAAATGAGCGACTCCAAAATGTGAAGAACCTTTGCAGAACTTCCTCAGCGAACTTTACTGTTAATAACAGTTTTTAATTGAATGCGGAATTGATAGCTATTTATTTCCTGTTACCGGAGTCAGTGTCTTCCAAAGGTCTTTAATAAAATGAGTGCTTCTTCTAAAACCAGTTACAGAGTCCCATGGGAAGAGGATGGAGCCTGGAGTGTGTGGCAGAGAGAGCCTGGGCAGGGTGCTGTGCAATGAACCTGCTCTGCCAGGTTTGCATCCCTTGTACAAGCGGTGTGACAACCCAGGGCTGGCTTGGTCTGGCCAGCTGCACCCTCTGCCAGCTGCTGATATCCCACGTCTTGCCAAGTGCCTCATTCCAGGGGATGTGGAGAGGACCCTCCTGAGGTGCACATGTCCCCAGGCTGCTCTGCAGAGCCCTGAGGGGTGTCTGTGATGCTCCTGGAGCAGCTCTGTGTCCTGCAGGAGTGACCTCCCTGAGGCAGGGGAGAAAGGCAGAGGGCTGTCCTGCAGGGACCAGCAGGGTTGGTGGCACTGGCAGGTTGGTGACATCCCTAAGCAGGAGAGAAGAAGGGCACAGGGCTGTCCTGCAGGGCTGAGCAGGATTGGTGACACTGGCAAGGCTGAGTTCCCTGAGGCAGGAAAGGCACAGGGCTGTCCTGCAGGGATGAGCATCATTGGTGACTCTGGCAGGTTGGTGACACCCAGTGACCCCCCCGGGTGCCGTGCTGGAGACCCTGCCCACCAGTGCAGGAGCTGCCCCTCGGTCCCACGTTCCCCCTGCTCTCAGCACTCCACACCTGCTCACGTTGATTTCCCCAGAAGCCGAGGCTTCAGGCAGCAAGGATCACACGACAGCATGTGTGGAGTGGGGATTAACAACCATGGGCACAGAGGTGAGCAACAAGAGGTTTTTCGCTCCCTCTCAGCACATAGAAAAGGCTGTTTGTTCAGCCCGAGCAGCCTAATGGTGTTTTTCAAATACAACTGGAAGCACTTAAAATACAATTCAAGACCTTGTGTGACTCATTCATTCGCCTGTTGCCCGGGCAGCCTGTGCAGTTGTACCCTCAGGTGCTGCCGTGCCAGGGCTCTCTGGGCTTCTCAGAGACCACGGGCTGAACCCAGCAGCTGCCCTGCGAGGTGAGCTCCAAACAAACACAGTCTGTTCCCAAAACTGCTCTGATCCACCAGCGCTGCTGAGACAGAGGAGTCAGCACTGGCCTCTGTACCTTCTGTGGAGGGGATTGAACAGCTGGAAATATGGCACGGCTCTGGGAAAGATGAAGGGCACTCAGGGGGCTGGGGGACAGTCAGGGGACACTGGGGGACAGTCAGGAGGATGGGGGACAGTCAGGGGAGGAGCTCCCATGGTTTGTACATGGGTGATGCCCAGTCCATGCTGCTGCATCGAGTGCCTGCAGTTCAGCCCGGGAGCCCCTGTGCTGTGGATCCAGTATTATGACCCATGATTTTCTACCTCAAAATAGGGTTTTACTTTTCATTGCCAGTAGCACCAGTTGAAAGGAGGAAAAAAAAAAATCAAATCAGAGTCTGGTTCCATTTGGCCAAAATGTTGAGTTAAAGGCAGATGTGGGGGTATGCAAAAGCACCAGGGGCAGAAAAACCAGAACATCTTGTGAGAGTCGTTGTAGGGCCCAAAGGGAATGGACAGCTCCAGCACTGAGAAAGGGACCCTGAAGTATTGCAGCTTTACAGTCCAAAGGTGTGATTCCTCTAGCCATGAAAAGAATTAATTAACTTGCCACGGTTTGGGATTCAGGCACTCCCTGTGAGCGTGGAAAGGCTGGGGGAGCCTGAGCACCCCACAGGCTCAGGCTGAACCAGTGCTGCTGCCCCAGCAGGGCGGGAGCACGCCCGGGGTGCCTCAGGATGGCGGTGACACGTTGTCACCGCAGTCACAAACAGGATGTGGGTGACAGCACCGAGCCCTGCTGAGCCCCAGCCGGGGGAGGAAGGAGCTCACGGGCCAGCCCAAGCGCTCTGAAATAAAACCAACTGCAACAGCCTTTGAAAGGCATTTCTCCTTGCAGAGAGCACTCTGGGGGGGTCCTGCTGTGCCTCTGGTGAGGGGCAGCAGCAGGGTGGGCGCACAGGCAGCGTGGGGCACTGACACCAGGGCTCGGGCTCTGTGGGCTCTGCACCTCCAGCAGCAGAGTTCTCACTGGGCACAGGGGTGATCGCAGAGCTCCCAGCAGCCAGTGGATCTTTGCTCTGCTTATCCCCTTGGGGCTGAAAGGGTAACACAAGTTTACTGCAGAGTGCAGCTGGGTCCTCGATGAATGCAATTGGATTTTAAACTGAACATTTTCAATTATTTTGATGGATGCAACAGAGCCTGACCTTCTCAGGGGACTTAACTGCTCATCAGAGAGTTGCCCACTGCCCAGACCCTCCCATCAGATCCTGACTGTTGGGCTCCATCCTGCCCCACTCTCAGGGATGTGGAGCTGCATTTAGGGCTCCATCCTGTCCCACATTCAGGGATGTGGTGCTGGGTCCCTCCTGCTGCTCTGCTGGATCCCGCAGCCCCACCCTGCGCTTCCTTTCCCCGCGGCGGTGGGGCCCCGTTCCCCCATTTCCCTGTTCCCGTTCCCCCGTTCCCCCGTTCCCCTGTGCTGGCCACACCCAGGGCTCAGAGCAGAGCATGGCACGGGTGGCTGTCGGGGGCAGCCGAGCCTGGCCTGTGCAGGGGGATTCACTCTTTCTTCATCCACAGGCAGAGCCAGCAGTGAGTCCCGGTGCTCCTGGCATGGAGCAGCTGCTCTGAGTGGGGTCACACCCAGCCGTGGCTGCGCCACACCAGATTGGACAGAATAAAACCTTTTCATTTTCAAAAGCTTGAAGAGGCAGAAATCCACCCCGTGGGGGCTGTGCAGAAGGAAGGTTGCCCTGCCCTTGAGGGGTGGTTTTGCCCAGCTGTTCACAAACAGCTGCCTGTGGTGGGAAGAACCCACAGCCGCCTTTTCCTCCTGCAATACTGCAGCCCAAATGGTTCTGTGAAAATAGGAAAAAACCTTCTCCTCTCCAGTCACCAGACCTTGCTGGGCGCTCAGCCTCTCCTCCTGAGGTCACCAACCCCTGCTCATTGTCAGCTCACATTCAAACCTTATCGTTTGCTTTTCTTGGACAACGTTTTCCAGCAAAGGATGGCTTTTATAAATCAATCACACCAAATTAATTTTAAAACAATAATGAAAACTTGTTGATTTAAAGACACAAACTCAAAAGATGAATAGAAGCAGTGGAAAGTGTTTGGGTCCATTTCTAATCGGGGGCTGAACTTGACAAGAGGATTTCCAAACCCTAAAGCCCAAAGATACCAGAAATGCTGTGTTGCACAAACACAGAATGTCATTCACAGCAGGAGATTACACTGTTATGTAAACCTGGCTTTGAGAAGAGTTCAGCTGCGGTCAGAAATGCCCCCGTGCTGCTCGGGTGACTCTCCAGCTTCCCTCTGCAAACGTCCCTCTGGATCCTGCCAGCCTTAGGTGTGACTGAGAGTCACTGAGAGAACCATGGAATGTCTTGGGCTGGGAGGGACCTTAAAGCTCTCCCTGTTCCGCCCCCTGCCGTGGCAGGGACACCTTCCACTGCCCCAGGGTGCTCCAAGCCCTGTCCAGCCTCGCCTGGGACCCTGCCAGGGTTCCAGGGGCAGCCCTGGGCCCTCTGAGCAGTGTTGGCTGTCCAGGGCGTGTGGCCAGGCACGGGGGGACACTGTGACACCGTGCTGTATGTGGGGCTGTGCCTGTCCCACTGCTGGGGCTGCTCCCCAGAGGGCAAAGTGCACCCATCGTGCCCCAGGGCACGGTGAGGTTCATCCATGGTGATGTTCATCCACGCTGAAGTTCATCCACAGCAAGGTTCATCCACTGCGAGCTCCATCCATGACAAGGTTCATCCATGACAAGGTCCATCCATGGTGAATTGCATCCACAGTGAGGTTCATCCCCAGTGAGGTTCATCCACAGCAAGCTCCATCTACCACAAGGTTCATCCACGGTGAGGTTCAACTACAGTGAGGTACATCCATGGCAAATTACATCCACGGTGAGGTTCATCCATAGCTTGGTTCATCCATGATGAGTTCCATCCATAGTGTGGTCCATCCCTGGTGAGTTCCATCCCTGGTGAGGTTCGTCCATGGCAAGGTTCATCCCTGGCAAAGTTCATCCATAGCATAGTCCATCTCTGGTGAGCTCCATCCCTGACAAGATCCATCCACGGTGAGCTCCATCCCTGGCGAGTTCCATCCCTGGTGAGCTCCATCCCTGGCGAGGTTCATCCATGGCAAGCGCCATCCATGGCAAGGTTCATGCACAGCAAGCGCCATCCATAGCACGGTTCATCCATAGCGTGGTCCGTCCCTGGTGAGCTCCATCCCTGGCAATCTCCATCGCCGATAAGGTTCATCCCTGGTGAGCTCCATCCCTGGCGAGCTCCATGCCCAGCGCGGTTCCCCGGCGCGGTTCCCGTCGCAAACCCGCTGGGGAATGTTAAGCGGGTTAGGTGGCAGGCTGGGGAAGGTGGTCACCCTCCGGGGATTAGGGGTCAGAACAAAGGCCGTCCCTGTGGCCAGCGGGCGCACAAAGAGCCATTGTGCCCGGAGCACAAGCTCCTGTTTATTCCCGCGGGGCTGACATGCCCGCAGCCCCGCTCTCCGGGCCGGCACAAAAGCTTCCTTGCTCCAGATTGTTTGTTTATGTAAATTATAATGGTGCATTTAATTATGCAACGGGCAGAGCCTGGCGACGAGGGCGGCGCTGATTGGGCCGGCGAGCCCCGGGCACAGCGGAC